ACGACGGGGGAGAGGTGGGGAGGAGGCGGGGGCCGGGCGGTGCGCGGGTGCCCCGTCCCGGACCGCTCCGCCGCTGTCCCGAGCGGGGTGTGGGCGGTGAGGAGCCGCGGCGTGTAAAGTCGTGGAAAAAGCAAATGGTAGAAAGTCGGGGATAGAGCAAAAGCGTTCCTGCAAAGCAAAAACTTTCAGGGAGAAACGAGGTGTTAGAGAAGGAAAGAAAAAGGAATCGAGAAGTTTGATCGCAACAGGGTTTAGCTGTGAGCGGTTTGCAGGCGGTGAGAAAAGGCTACAGGATTATGCAACTTTCACACTTGGCTTTTTAAAAATATTTTTAAAATGCGTTAATTTCTGCAGGATGGTGGGTTATAGCATGAATTAAATTCTCTACGTACCTGTGAAGTATTCTTACAGGGAGGCCAAGCCATTTTCTCGAAGCAATTGTAATTCTGCATCGGCAGTTATTTCTGTTAAGTAATTAAATGTAATTGCCTCTGTTATATCTGGCCATTTCAGACACGGGAAGACTGCCAGCCTCTATGATGTCTTGATTTGTTGTTTTTTTTACATACCGTGGTGCCATTATGTGCATCATAGATCATCATGTGACCTTTAGTTGCTATTTCAGGGAGGTTTTGTTGTTAAATAGCACAGTTTATTTGGTGCAAGAAACTGGCAAATAACTAACATAATGTCCAACCTGTTTAAATCTACGGAATTACTTGCTTACCTAAAAGAACAGGTTGAGAATTTGAACTAGTTTGTTGTTTTTTTTTCTTCTGACCTGTGATTGACATAGATGTCACTTTTGGTTTAGGTGCCTGTTGCAGCTGAGAGCAGAAGGCAGTGTAGTATATGACTGCTGTGCAGGATGTCAGGACTAGTGATAGTTACAGCTCCCTGACGTATTGCATTTGGTGATGAATTCCTTAAGGATGAGTTACAGGCACATACCAGAAAAAGAGTCTTACTTCCCTCCCCAAGCCTAACTTACCCTCTTCTGGGCCAAAATGTAAATTTTAGTCTAGAAATTGGTGCTGTAGGTGAGTATCAGAATATGTCCCTTTGTAATTATTCCAGGTAACTGAGAGGGGAACATTTGTTTTCATTCCTGACTCTACACAGTGTGCTGAGCAAACTTATTTCATGCACCGTGAGAGACTGCCTGCATAAATCACGTCTGCAGATACTTGCAATGGTGTGCTGTGCCTGCTTAGAAGTCATTCTGATCTAGATGTATAGGTTAGGCAAGGGTAGCTTAATATGGGCAGATTGCATAAATCTGCAAGTGACATTTCACTTTTAATGCTCTTCTGAATTATTAATAAATATTAGCTTTCTTACACGCATTCTGCCATCATCCATTATATACCTTCAGTGTGAGATGGAGCCGTGTTACTGTATGCAGAACTTCTGCCTACTGGAGTCACACTTCTAGTGATCACAGTTAATAGACAGGTGGTCCTGGGTCAGCTGCTAAGAAATACAGGAAAATAACCTGACTTGTCAAGATCTATATAATTTTAATGTGTATAATTTGCCTGCACTACGGAGAGTTCAGCAGTTCAGTGTTTGTAATATCGTAAGGGATAAACCCAGAAGTTTATTGGGTAATCTTTGAAATATCTAAAGCAATTAAACTCATTAATTTTGAGGTACGTTTTAAGATATTGTCTGTGATGGTTAATTATGGTAGTTTGATGGCATGTTCCTAAGGGATGGAGTCTCTTTAGGGAAAATTAGCAATGATGATTAATAGTTTAGATTCAAGAACATCTCTTTGCAGTAGCGTAGCTTTTCTCCACGTATACCCTTATGTGTAGTCTTTTATGAAAGATACAGAAAAAGAGCCTGCTGTAAATGGATGGCGTTGGATAGAGAGATCTGTGGAAGCAGTGTAACAGAAGTTTTGAAAATTCCATGAAAAGGTTTTCTGTGGCAGATGTATAGTGTCTTTTTTCATATGGAAGCAGAGGAAAAAGGACTGTTACCTGCACTTGTTAAGTTACATCCTTTTCATAATGAAAGTGGATCTTTTCCACTCATTTGGATAGAATTTGCACTACATTTTGGCATTAGTGGGTGCGAAAGAGCTCTGTCACAAAAGAGATGGTACCACGGAATTGTACCATAGTAGTCATCATTTTGTTCGTCAGAAAAAGAGATGTGTGCCTTTGAGGATACACAGCTCTAATTTCCTGACATCTGAAAGTGTTTTTAAGAAACCACTATTGCAACTGAAAGTTTAAATGTTTAAACTCTGAATTATATTTTAGATGGCAAATTGTTATCTGATGATGTCACACATTATGTTGTCCCTGACTGCAAGGTTGTTCAAGATTACCTTGAGATTCTTGAGTTTCCGGAGCTGAAAGGTGTTATTTTCATGCAAACGGCATGTCAAGCTGTGCAGCATCAAAAAGGACGCAGGTAGTTATCCAATAATAACTTATTTTTGCATCGAAGTAAAGATACTAACTTTGTAAAATGTATACCTAAGCACAGTAACCCAAACTCAGCAAATATACTGGGCTTAATGTGGTTTTAGGTCTTTCAAGTACCTTAATAAAATTTTACAGAAGGGAAAGAACTGTGATCCTTTGTGATCCATAGGCATCAATGCCTGTCATAGTTGTCACTTGATAGAAGCAATATTAAACCTGTAGCATCATAAATTAATCAGAGGGCTTGTGACAGGAATTAAGGAGACTTTGCAGTAACGATATATCATGTGCCACAAGTCGATTATGGACATGATTTTGGTTTGCTGTGCTGAAGACTGAGCTCTTGTCTTTGGGGAGCAGTTAATGCTATTACATGGTACTTACCTTACCAGACATTAACTTATATATTGCCATAGCACGTCAGAGTGCAATTGACTGTCAAACTTTTCCTGTATTTCTAAAGCACGAATGCCTTTGAAGAGCCAGCTCTTATCCCAGAAGTGACAAAATAAGTTCCTGAACACTTACGATGTTTTATGGGACTTATTGGAAAACAAACGTGTGTAAGAATCAGAAGCATTAATAATGGAAATTAGAAAAGCTTGCTTACAGATGATTTTTTTAGGCTTTATTGTCAATGATGTAATGTAATGAAAGCATTTCTTTGTGCGTGACAGTAGTTCACTGTGAGTTTTTCAGCTGTGTTTTTATCTGGAGTTAAAACAGCATTATCTTTTTCATATTCCAGACAGTACAACAAGTTGCGAAATCTAGTAAAGGATGCCCGTCATGACTGTGTTGTGTTTGCTAATGAATTCCACCAGCATTCGTACTTGCCAAGGCAGAAGGGGGAATCCATGGAGAAATGGCAGACCAGGTTTGCTTTAACTGGTGTAGTACGACCCTGGATAACGCTGTGACGTTGTGTTTAGGAATGGTAGCAGGCATTGGATACATAAGAGCTCATACTCTTGCTCTGCTTAGCTCTGGAACAGTTCACAACAACTGAAAGTCTGGATTGTCCTTTTGTGATTCAGAAAGTGTCAACTTTGCTTTCTTAGGAAAACAGACAAAAAAGGTACTTAAATGCAATAATGCCGGGGAAAAAAAAGAGAAGCTGGATCGTTTTAAAGTTACACAGTCATTTTAAAGTTTTAGCATAATAAAAGATCACTCACAGCTTGTTGGACTGTGGGAAGCAGTGTTTGATAGCAAACACCATAGCACTGGCGTTCTGGCTGTTCCAACTTGCTTTTACAAACTTTAATTCAGAGGGACAATATGTTGTGTTGCAGCTAGGGCACATCATGTGGAGGTATTGGGGAGGAAACGTTTTCTTTTCCTATGTCCTCTTGGTGCTCACGTATGGCACATAAAAGTTTTTGCAGATACGAGGTTTATGTAGCTTTGGTGCATGTATCTCAAAAAATACGCATCTGAAACCAAAATCTTGTTTGTATAAAGCCTACAGATGTCTTGCAAGTAGCAAATGAGATGTGCTAGAAATCTTATTTCAAACTTTACTTTTCTAGGAGTATTTACAATGCAGCAGTCTGGTATTATAATCACTGCTTGGGTCAGATGCCAGTTGTTATGGTAACAGAAGATGAAGATGCTATCAGGCAGTACGGAAATGAAACAGAAGGAGTGTTTGTGATTTCCTTCAAGGTAACATGCCAGAAAAATAGAAGGTTTCCCTTAGCTGCATCAAAATGATGAAGCAAGTACATTAAAGCCCAATGTGTAGTGCAAATCATTTCAGAGTTTACATTTAAGAAAACTGCAATGCTAACTCATGTCCTCATTTATCAAAGAAAGCGAAGATGTCAGTCCTGGGAATGTCATAAAAAGTGGTGGCAATGAGCAAACCAGAGAACTGCATAGAAAAACAGCAACATTAAAGATAGAGGTCGTCTTTCTTAGGAGCCCTCTTCATTGTTTTCCTTATTTTTAAAGAATTTGGCATTGATAAACAATAATCAGGTACCTCAGCTAAATCTGTAGTGCAAGCAGTCCATAAACAGCTGTGGCCAAACATCCATCAGCATTGTTCTGCCAGTTTACTTTAGCCTTGACTACTTAGGATACAGTGAGGCACGAAAAGAAAATTCATTCTTCATGAAGCTGTTGATCTCTGATACTGTTTGTATTCAGTGGGACATGTGGATGGGAGGTTTGTGTTTAGCTGTGGAAGGATGTTGATTAAAAACGGGGCCAAACAGATTTACCTTAAAGCCATATAAAAATGAGGGTGCTTTTTTTTTTTTTAATTGCTATAAGGCAATGGAAAATGGTCCAAATGCAGCATACAAAAATAGTATAAAAACTGTCAGAATAATACTGGGTGGCCAGTTTGATGATTCTGCTGTGGCAAAATACTCAAGGTATTATATTGCATAAGAAGTATATGTGTTGGTAGTAAAAGTTGTGAATCTAGACCAGGACGCTGTCTTAAGTCTCTTGTCTGTTCTGGGCTTTCCAAATGCAGCATTCTTAAAAGGACAGACATCTCTAAATACTTTCACGTTTTACATATGTGCATACAGAATTACTTGGATAACTTCTGGCCTGACTTAAAGGCTGCCCATGAACTCTTTGGGTCTATACTTCAAGCTCGGCGTGAGCGGGAGAGTGAAAGCCAAGAAAACAATGGAAAAGAATATCCTGAGCACTTACCTGTGGAAATATTGGAGGCTGGGATCAAATCTGGAAGATATGTACAGGTAATTTGCTATGTAGAGAACACAGACACAACAATGCAGTCTTGTACTTGGTTGCTTTAGTTACCTGAATTAGACTGATTGGATAAAGAAATATAGTGGGAAGAGGGAAAGAAAACAAAAAAAAGCAAGAGTAAGAGGGGATATTTGCCCTACTTCATCTTGTGTACACATGTTTGTTTTTTTTTCTTTTGGAGAAGGAAGAATGAGAATTTGTTATTGAGGTTCTAAAATTTGCTATGGATTTTTCTTCAGGTTGATGTGTCGTATACCTGTAGATTGAGAAACTAGGTGTGATATGATGCAGCTGTATCTCATTCTTAAACATAAATAATGCTGCACAAGGGCAGCATTTCTTACTTCATTTGCACAGAGATCTCAGTGAAATTAATTTACAATTTTATGGCTGTTCGAGGCCTTAATATGGATTGTTTGTGGACAAGGGTCTTTCTCTTAAACATAATTTAAAGAATTAGAGGAAGTAATTTGTTCCTCTCTTGGCAGTTTCAGCAGCCAGGCAAGAATAGAATATGAGTAGAAAGGCTGAGTTTTTCGTTTCTTGTGGGAATAACTCCAGATTCCATATTAAGGCAGGCAGCAAAAGTAATCTTAACACCACCAGTGCTTTGAATAAAAGGACCTTTACCAGCTTACAATTAAATTAAGCTTTTAAAAGAATTTACCATTATTTTCCAGAAGTGAGTACTTAAGTTCTGTGTTATCAGAACATTATCCCATTACATGTACATTATCCCAGTCATGTTCAAAATACCCTACATCTCAATAGAAACTACTAATTTATCTAAAACTAATTGTAAAACAAAAAGCTACTTCAAAGTTGGCTGTTTAGAGGTGTGACTGTTTCATTCTGTTTCTCAGTTTGTTATTTTCTTTCAGGGTACGCTGAGTGTCAATAAGCACAGAGCACAACTGGAAGCTTTTGTTCGACTCCAGGGATTTGGCAGCAAAGAGACAGGTGAAAAGACAACGAGAGGATTTACTCCATCCCTCTTTGATGCTGTCTGTTCTGTTTACGTGAAGCTGTGTAGCTGTGTGTGTGTAGCTGCTCAGTTATTAAGCAAGATGAAAACTTGGGGTTTTTCATGGGCCAGAAAGGAGGCTGAAGATGAAGCCAGAGAGGGACCTCATGAGAAAGCAATACCCTTTGTGTCCTCCTTCCTCTTTCTTAGTACCTTCAGCCATATTTTGGACTCCTGTCCTGCTAACACGTTTCCCTAGACCTTTTCTGAAGTTGAGTACTGCTGCAAATTGTTATCCCTGTGCTTTGCTCCAACTTCAGATGACCACTCATTTGACTGAAATAAGTGTTTGCATAGATGTTGGCAGGATTAGGAAGCTGGTCGTTGTGAGCACAGTAGGAAAAATGCCTTTTGGATCAGATTGGAACACCAGTATTGTCTTTCTGTTATCAGTTAGCAATACATAGCTTTGAAGGAACAGCCCATTGTCCCAGCACAGATCGATTGTCCCAGCTTTCACTAATAAATGCTTTCAAATGTTCCTGTGACACATCCTCCAGTCAAACCAGTGTTTAATATACAAATCCTTTTTTTAAATCTTGTTTTATTCTGGAACCTTCCCCGATCCTTTGGCAATGGTTTCCACGATTTAACTGTGTTTTGTGTTTTTAAAGACACAAAACTTGTGTCTTTAAAAACACATGATTTAACTTGTGTTTTGTGTTTGCTGCCTTAGAATGATGAACTGATTGTAGCCAATGCTACTTTTTAACCAAGGGTTCACTTACAGAATTGCCTAATACCTCCTTTAAAAAAAAGAAAAAAAAAGAGGAAAAGGTTTTCATTTTCTTGCAATATTAATTACTTGCCAATAGTCCTTTTTGGAAGAAATCA